GTAATTTTTAGGTTGGATTCAGCAACTTTTAAAATAAATTCTCATTTTACATGAACTTGAAAAGAATACAAAATATATACTATTTAGGATTTCAATTCAGAATTTGATGATGATTCCATGGTAAAAGATTCCATGGTAAAAGTCCAAAGACACAGAAGGTTTAATAATACAGATATATGGAATTATTGGTCTTAAATCTTCAGGTGTACTAATGTAGTCAAGTGAGTAGAATTATCCTTCCTGGATCCATAATGGTTGACTTGCATCTGCTCTGAGGAACATTTCTATATTTTCCAATAGTTTTATTAAAGACAGACAATGAAACCTGGAAAGGTAGATAAAGTTTTCTCTGCTACTTAGCTGGGCAGATGGCCTTGGGTATAGAAGACATTAATACGGAAAGAAACTTAAGCGTTAAAGATAAGATGCTTAAGCTCTCATAAATGATATTTTTAAATATTAGAATCAATAAAAGTATTTGCACACATGGCCTTCGAAGTTTGCAAATCAGTAGCATTGAATGGAGGTGACTTGAGGACTCTACAGCTAAGAAAGCAGTCATCCACTCTAGGAAGTTTAGATAGGCCAGGGTTAACTATAGCATAGAGCTGGGGGATGAAACAGCTGTGTAGAAAGTGGATTAGCTTTAGATTTTCAGAGGGCATATTTCTCCACAGATCCACCTTCAGCCAATATTCTTTACTCTATACATTTTCCTTGAGTCAGCTTACCCATTTCTATAGCTTCAACACCATTTATACTGGTGACATACAAATCTCTACTCAGTCCAAATCTCTCCTGTCAACTTGGACTTGTGTATCCAATGTACAGGTACTGTATACATAGGCTTCCATATCTTCAAGCATGCCCATTAACCTTAATACATCTATTCATTCCTGCACTCACTGTCTTACACAAAAAACTTTTTCCCTTAAGAAATCATTATCCATCTTCCTAGTGATCTCCAAGACTATCCAATAGAAAACTCAACCCATAAATTGGGAATCATTCTTGATTCTTCTATCTCTCATTGTCTCTGTCTCACTCACTGTACCAACTAGTTATTTAGTCTTATTGATCCTACCTACCTTTCCTCATTTTTCCTTCTTCATTTCCATAATTTGAAACCTGAACTCCTTCAGCAGGCTCCTAGCACATGTTCCATTTCTAATTTTATGTCACCCTAATCCGTCTGTCAAACTGCTGATGGATTATTTTCTCAGTAAAAGACAATTCAGCCTACTACTTTCCAAGTTAGAATCTTTTCATGTCAAAACAGCCATTAATATTTACATTTAGTAAATGCTGGATTTCATCATATTCATAGCTTATTGTCAGTTTAAGGACACCCTTATAACTTCCATAGAACTATAAATTCACATATTCTACAAAATGTTTAATTTTTCCTGGTACTACTGATGTTTAATCTCTAATTTGTACATAAAGATATTTAAACATGTAGTGATATGAAAAAATTGCTTCTCTCTAGAAGAAGGTATTTAAATATGTGTTGCTATCAAATAAAGTAATAAAGGTAACATACTAGCCCAGCAAGGCTTCATTACTATGAATTTTCTTCTTACTCTAAAAGAAAAAAGAATGCTTAGACAAGTTGTGGGTACATGAAGCTAATATCAATTTCATATGACAGTGGTCTATTATTTAATCCATAATCAATTCACTTCAAATTAAGTGCTCGTAGGGCTTGGTGGGGGCTATAATCATAAAGGGTTTATTTGAGAGTCCAAAAATTCAAGGAGCAGGTGATTTACTAAGCCTGTTTTCCCTTGTCACAAAAAAACAAAGGTACAATATTTAAAGGTAAAATATTAAAGGTAAATATTTAAAGGTTTAATATTTAAAGGTATATATAATGGATATACCTTCTGGAAAACTCAGAGTCTTCTTCAGGACTTGACTGGGGAACCAGCTCCCTATAGGGAACAACTGGAAAACCTGCCTGAATTTCTAGCAATATGGTTCAAGAAAAGGTGGGGGAAATTCAGACATTTGACCTGAAAAGCAGTTACTAGCTATTATAAAGCCTTTGCTTTGTATAAAAAGACATTCAGCTTAGACACAAATAGTGAAAGACCAGATTTCAACTGAAGGAAGAAAGTCTTTAACTTGGATTCAGGCAGAAAAGGTGATTATGGCTGATCAAGATATATGCTCCAGAGTTTAACCTGAGGACACAACAAAGAGAGGATCTGAGACAAATGATTAGAAATGAGAAATGATATCTTATTAGAAGTACAATTTAATTCTGTGCCTCTCAAAGCATAGTGATTTGGTGTCATCATTTTTTTTCTTTGGGTTTTCTAAGCAAGGCACACAATTTTTAGTATTGATGTTCTCTTCCTCCATTGCATTCTTCTCAAAAGGAGAGTAATCAACTGGGCAGTGGGGGAAAAAAAAACAGGACTCTGAAAAATTAGCTATTGTTCATTAGTAAGTGAATAGGATTTTTTTTTTTTTTTGAGAGAGAGAGAGAGTGTGAGTGCATGATTCGGGAGGAGGGGGGGGAAGAGGAGGGGCAAAGGGAAAGGGAGAGAGAAAATCTTAAGCAGGTTCAATGACCAGCATGGAGCCAAACACGCCTGATCTCACAACTGGGAGATCCTGACCTCAGCCAAAATCAAGAATCAGACACTTAACTGACTAAGCCACCCAGGCTCCCTGGTGAATTGAACTTTTAATTGACCTTATAGTGATAATTAATTTTTTTAAATAATAATTAAGTACATTTCTACAAGTATGTACTAGCTTCATAACAGTCAGGATACAGACAATAAATGAGCATTTCTTTGACATTTGCTCGAATGAGGCCCTGAAATAAGAATTTCAAATTAGAGGGTGCCTGGCTGGCTCAGTTGATTAAAGCCTCTGACTTCAGCTCAGGTGGGTTCGATCCCGGCTGGGGCTCTGTGCTGACAGCTCAGAGCCTGAAGCCTACTTTGGAGTCTGTGTCTCCCTCTCTCTCTGTGCCCCTCCGCACTCAGCTCTGTCTCTCAAAAAGGAATAAACGTTAAAAAAAATTCAACTTAGGAAAACAAAAATGGTCAGGAAATTCCCACTTCAAGGTAAGAAGTGGAATGGAGACATTAAGGAAAATACAAAGGAACAAATGAAAAACTTACCAATGTCTTTTGTAAAGCCTTACCTTTCTTTAAAATATTAAAAAATGAATTAGAGAAAGGTATAAAAATTCTATTCTTTGTGGTTACTCATTATAAGTGAGTCTATAGCAAGCACTTATGTAAAAATCCTTTTTTCCCTTCAAGATTATTACCTCAGACTTCACTCTTGTTTTATTGAATTTCTTGCCCTCCCCAATATTTTTCATAACTATAATTATGTGACTTGATAATACAATGTTCTTAACACTCTTCTAACTTGATTTGTCTATGCTTTTAGCTTGTTTCTTTTATATGCGCCTTCATCTTTAGGTCTGTGGACCTGAGAGAGGTACATGATAAATTATGTAATCCCAGATACCGATGAGGGCTGTGAAAAAAATATAAAGTACAGTAATGAAACAGATCATGTAGGCAAGAGGGCAGAAGACTATCCTATTTTAGGTTGGTCAGGAAAAGCCTCTCCAGGGAAGGAAAATTTGAGTACAGCACAAGATCAAGCAGGGAGCAATAAATTATTAGCAAAGACCTATCTTTTGAGCAGAAGGAATAGTAATTCCAAAGCCTCTGAGGCAGGAACAATCTTGGAACATTTGGGGTATATCAAGATCAGCATTACTGATGTGGTACAAGAAGGCAGAGAGGAGGAGATGAAGTTAAAGATGTGAGGCATTGGAGGTAGAGTAAAGAATATAAATCTTACCCTGGGTAAGATGGAAAAGCATTAGGGTTTTAAGAGTATCATCACATGTACATTTTAAAGGGACACTGACCAGAGTGGAAAGAGGCAGACTGTTAGGTGGTTACTTCAGTAGTCCAGGTGAGATATAATGGTGGCCTGAATGGATGGCTATCAGTACCCATCTAAAAGGCAACTGGGTTTGGGATATATCAAAGGCATGAAACATGATGATGCGTTATATCTGGAGTATGGGGAGGATAGAGGAATCAGAGCTGACACCTCAGTTTTTGTCTGCAAAATTGGATTAAGTGAAGGTTCCATTTCTCTTGATGGAGAAGCCTGGGAATGAAGGAAGTTAAGGGTGTGAACAATCATGAGTTTTGTTCTGGGTATATAAAGCTGAGGGAAGATGTTGTGCAATCAATTTAAAATATGAATCTGGACAGGGTAAGAAACATACACTAAGGGATCACTGATGTATTAATTCTGCTTTTTCCTCATGTAGAAAAATAGATTGTGTAATTTTTATTTTTTAATCTGCATATTTACTACAATATAGTTCCTCCTAAATATTTGCATTTTACTTCAGACTGTATTCTTTCTTTTGAAAAAAAAAACTGTAGTATTCCTTGGACTTTAGACAAATATCTGATTATTACACATGATTGAACAGGCATGATGTACAGGATTCCAGAGTACATAAGAAAGACTGGCTTATATTCCTTTCCCAGTTCTCAAGATTGACTTCTGTTTGCTATTTTCTATTGCTACTCCTCTAACAATAAAAACAGGAAATTAGGAAAATGTTAGCCCTCAGAGCAAAGGCTACAAAGCAGAGTTACTTTTTTCTTAGCATTGTGTTTCCTGGAAGATGGAAACCATTTCAAGTCAAATAAAGTTACACATGATGCATATTTTTTATTTCCCTGGCCCTGTTAGGCTTGGTGGGGGCAACAAGTACTGCAAAGCAGAACTGATCATATTTTGTAGAGAAAATAAGAACCATGTGAAACAATACGAAAACAAGAAAGTAATGTAAATTACAAATATGCAAACATTATAATTGGTTAAATAGGAGGTAGACACTATGGCAGGGCTGGCTTAATAGTAAAACTAAAAATAGGCAGATATGTGCAAAGACTGGAGCACTAATGTGAGAACCATAACTGAGCGTGACTTACCAAGTGGCTGGCCGGCGATGATCCTGGCATTTTCTCCAGCCACTGCAGCTCTCGCGTGCCGCTCACTCATGTACTGTACGAACGCATAACCTTTGTGAACTGAGCATCCAACTATTTTTCCGTACTTTGAGAATATGGCTTCAATGTCAACTTTCTTGACAATGGCTGTATTTAGATTGCCGATGAAAACACGGGAGTTGATGGACTTGGGGTCATTCTTATTGGTGACATTGCTGGTCTGTGTTTTGCCAGTCATGGTTGGCTCACCTTGTTTTAATCCTTAAACAAACAAACAAAAACAATCAAGAGGAAAATAATTAGATTGAATGGATACTACTGGTTTTTAACAATTTTTCAATAGTGTACCAGGTAACCTCAGATCCCTAATTATTACTGGTCTTCTTGAGAAGAAAATTTAGTAATATAAAAAGTGAACATTGCATTATAAAATGCAGGAAGAAAACACTATTAACTCTTAGCATATAGTCATAAATAAATTCCTGACTTATTTATTCCAAATTCAGGACTGAATAATGACTAAACCGTTTGTCATTTTTGTTTTAAGTCTCCCACTTTTTCAGAAGCAAGTTTGAGGAAGAATCCGCCTTTTATTGCTGAGAACATGCATTTTTAGTTCTACATTTTCTGTGAAAGGTACATATATTGGCTATTTCATTATCAGAACCCTTCTATCAGAAACTAACAATTCTTTGCACTAAATGCTGTAGAAGAGAAAAAGGGTTTAAAAATTAATTTAAACTTTCAACATAAGAAAAACATGACTATAGAAGTAAGGGATTTAACCAGAGTTAATTCCATAGCTTCTCTCTAACTGAACCAATATCATATGTTGCTTTAAAAAACAACAACAACAAAAAAGAAGGCAGCACATGTGGCTAGTTTTTATCAATGATCAGCAAATTAGTGGACTGGGTATCTGTGTTGAAATTTGTATTCTCAAACTCATTTTTAATTCATTAAACTAATGGTTCCTATGTTGCCTAAGGACTGCCAGTATTTCTAAAATTGTTTTCTGAGCTTGGCAGAGTATTTAATTGTGCTTAATTAAACTCAATGAAACTTTTATTTCTAAGCATTCCAGCACTTACAGATTTAGTTTTTTAAGGTTTTAAACATTTATTCATTCATTCATTCATTTATTCAACAATATTTGTTAAGCACCTCTTTCCTTCCTTCCTCTCTCCTTCCTACCCTCCCTCCCTCCCTTCCTTTCTTTTCTGGATAAGCATCTTCTTCTAAAGTGACTAACATTTTTAAAAAGTCAGTGTGGTAAAAATAAAATTTCAACAAGGTTACAATCTCGGATACTGATGATCATTGTTAAATATTAGCTTATTAATAAACTTTATCAGTGATATATTTTTATAGGAGTAATTTCTTTTAAAAACTTATAACTATAAAAACAATAAGTCCATCTTATTTTTTTATAATTTCAAATGACATTTTAAGTTGAGCATTAAAATGGTAGAAGTCTTAAAGGTATGTAATTGAACATGTCTGAAAACTGACTATGCATTTAAGCCAGTTACTTCTGAGATCAAGAGCAACCAAATAACATAAAATGTTTAAAATTAAGTTGTTAATTATCTTGGATTATTAAAATTTTACTAAATATTGGACAGTCAATGTTGTATATATCTCTTTAAAATCAAGGTTGAGTTCATAAACATTTATTTATTCACATAAAAAGAGTATGGCATCATTAAAAGCAAAGATTATATTGCTGCTGCCTTGTTTTGTTTCAGTTTAGCTAGATTTAAGTGGTTGCTTTATGAATTATTCAAGGTTAGGGTTGAAAGGAAGGAAAGCTGATGATTTTTTTTCCATTTTGCAATATGAGCTGTTACATACCTCAAGACAAACGCTTTGAGAATCAATTTTTAAAAAGAAAAATTAAGGTGTACATATATATTTTAAATAAATGTTTAGCTTTCTCATATAATTTAGTGTATTTTAATAACATTGAGAAGGAAAAACAAACTAAATATCCATTTTGGGGGCTTCAGAATCTATAGATTGTTATCTTTCTTACCACTCTAAGTGAACATCAATAATGCAATCCATAGCAATACTATTATTTTCTTTTTGCTCTTATGTGATCAATACTTTTAGCAATATCAGTTACTTTCAAGTAAAAACAATTACTATGGTTGATGTTTTATTTCCTGACAAGGGACAAGCTGGTTAAAATGCAAACTCAAGAACTGTGGGATTAGGTCAGACCCATGGCTGACAGAGCCCAGTGGTCAAATTGAAGATGACGGCATGCATAGCTGTACTCGACTTCTCACCGTAAATATCCACATGCTCTCTCTGACTCTGTCCTTTTACTCTATGTAAATGACTCTCGAAACTGCAACTCCAAATTGCCAATCGTGTAATTCTACCTATGGACTCTTCATCACCTTAAAATCTGTATGTGTCTGTCTTCTCACACAAACATTACTTGTCTGTTTCTAGCAGTATTTAAAATGATACAGCTTTGTCACTGTGCTGTATATTAACATTTCAACATTCTCTGCAAAATCAAGTCTTCGTTCATAGTGTAATATTTAGCTGTACTTCTTCATTACATGAATCTTCAATCAATTAAAGAAGGACTTCCACTTTCAGACATAATGTAATAACAGGAGATTATAAATTAACCTTCCTGATTCTAACTCCTGACTCTAAAACCAATCTAATATAGATGAAACAAACTGTTTTTGGACATTAAACCACAGTTACTGCAGGGGCCATGACATCTCAGAGAAAAGAAACACATTTTAGGTCATCGTTGCTGAGATACATGTGTATGTGTGCATGTGTGTGCAATTGAAAACACAGACAGCTATCTCACTGGGTTGAGGCAATAGAAATCAGAGTTCAGGGAGTCTGAGGAGGCAGGAATTTTTGAGGCAGATTTCTAGAAAGAAGAGAGCTAAGACAGACAACTCCGGAAACAGGCTTAGAGATCCTTTAAATCTATGCTGGTTCCTAGAATATGCATGCAAAAGGTGAGTGTCTATGAGGTTGGCTAAAAGTTATTGGAGGCTGTGAATTTCCAGACCCATAAAAGAATAAGTATCATTGCAGTTCCTACCAGCAACAGTGCAGTGTCAAACTGGCCTCTGGAGCATTAAGTTGAGACATCATAAGGGCTAGGCCTTAGTGATGGGGATAAATGATCCCTACAGTGAAAAGTACTCTGGGACCACCCTAATAAAACCTAAAAACAATTTTAAGATGTTCAAACTAAACGAAAAACAATTTAAATGTCTACCAGAGCAACGTGTAATACTTCTTTAAAAAAATAAAACTCAGATGCACTCAACATAAAATACTAAATCTTCAGCATCCAATCAAACATTTCTAAATATCTCACAAATCAGAAAATATGACCCATAACTAGGAGAAAAATTAGCGATATAAAAAAAAAGAATCAAGGGGAATGTCTAAAGATGAAGATTATATCTAAAATAAATAATGTATGTATACATACACACACACACACACACACACACACACACACACACACAAACACACTTAGTGGGTATTACAGGTGATAAGAATCTGCAGAAGAACGGATTTGTGAATTTGAAGTTGTAGAAATAGTGAACATCCAAAGTGTGTCACAGAGATAAAACATTGAGAAAATAAGGGCCTCAGCGAGTCATATGATGCTATCGAGCTATTTAATATAATATACTTGGAGTCTCACAGGGGTAAAATGTACAAAAGAATAATAGCCAAAAATCTTCCAAATTTGATGAAAAGTATATGATCCCACAGATTCAAGAATCTCACTGACTCCAATCAGAGTAAACACAAAGAAAGAAAACTACACCCAGACACATCAAATCAAATTATTGAAAACCACTGATAAAGAGAAAAAATCAGGGAGCTCTGAGGCACTGGAAAAATGCTTACATTGTAAGAAAAAAAAACAGGAAAACAATAGGAGATGTTATTATAGCTACAAAAGAAATAACAAGAGAAAAATGATTTTTTTTGGTGAAAATGAAATTAAATATAGAACTTGTCTCTTAATTTTTAAGCTAGAAGTTTGAATGGAGCTACTGTTAAGTGTTTATGAAGGGCTACTGTGTAATAAACTATAAATCACTGCTGCCCCACAGAACTTTCTGTAAAGATGGAAACATTCTATACCTGCACTATCCAAAAGGATAGTGAATAACTCTGCAACTTTTGAGGACTTAAAATGTTGCCAGTGAGATTGAAGTACCAAATTTTTAATTTTATTTAGTTAAAATTAAAGCAGTATTTTAGTGGGTTTCCATACCCAAAAAGGCTAACAGGACTCTGGTCTTTCAAAAATATAGAGTCAACAAAAATCAGAAATAATTTGTTTTATTTATGTATTATGGAGGCATTCTGGTCCCAGAAAATTACGAAAAATATGATGGTATTCGATATATTTCAGAAGAAGAAGAAGCAAAAATTCAAACAGTTGCCATAAGAAGAGGAACATAAGAGTAAGATTTTCTTTCTGGAAATATCACACTAAGACGGTGAATGCTCTATAAAATCATAAAGAGGGGCGCCTGGGTGGCGCAGTCGGTTAAGCGTCCGACTTCAGCCAGGTCGCGATCTCACGGTCCGTGAGTTCGAGCCCCGCGTCAGGCTCTGGGCTGATGGCTCGGAGCCTGGAGCCTGTTTCCGATTCTGTGTCTCCCTCTCTCTCTGCCCCTCCCCCGTTCATGCTCTGTCTCTCTCTGTCCCAAAAATAAATAAACGTTGAAAAAAAAAATTTTTTTTTTAAAATAAAAAAATAAAAAAATAATAAAATAAAATCATAAAGAATGTGTTTAGAGTACTTAAAGCCTTTTACTTATATTTGAAGACGATTTTTACCCTTGGATCTAAAAAAGATACATTAATTATGAATTAAAGACAACATTAAAGTTTATTTTAGAGAAAAAAAAATTTGGAGCAGACAAGATTAACAGGACAATAAATTCTATCCTCCTCTTGATTTCATGGTCCTGAATTTCCAATTTAAATTTTAGATTTATTCAGATATTCCTATTGAACAAAGAATGAAGAAAAAAAATACCAAGTTCAACAAGAAATACCCAGGTATTCAAGAAAAGCAGCTAACAATATTAATAATACTATATTCAAGAACCTGGGAAAAAATGAAAGGGATACAAAAATGAGTAAGAAAAAAATATCATGCCCTAAATGTTATAATCTGCTACAATCTAGAACTAGTACTCAAATAAGTTCTATAATATAAGGTTAAAACCT